TTATAAGCTTTGTAATTTTTAATTTTATGGCTCTTATATTAACATTTAGCTTAAAATGCACATTGAACAGTTATACAAAAAATGTTTTTATATAGTTATTATATAGTATTTTCTAGTTAAAAACTAAGACACAAACACATTAGACTAGGCTTATATAGGCCGAGGATCTTCAGTATTATTGTCCCCCACCTCCATATCTTTTCCCACTGAAGGTCTCCAGGGGCACCAACACAAATGGAGCTGTAATCTCCTAAGGTACCAATGCCTTCTGGGATTCCTAGTGAAGAACATGCCTGAGGCTGTTTTACAGTTAACTTTTTTCTATAAATAAAAGGAGCCCATTAAAATAATAATAAAGAACATACTATAGCAAATATATAAATCAGTAACATAGACATTTATTTTCCTTATCAAGTATCATGTACTTCACATAATTGTGAGTGGCTATACTTTTGTACTCCCATTAGTGCTTTAGGTTTGTTTAAATCAGTGTCACCAAAAATCCATGAGTTATGCATTGTGCTGAGATATTACTATGGCTGTTATATCACTAAGCAACAGAATTTTTCAATTCCATTTTAATCTTATGGAATCACTGTCATATTTATAGTGTATAATGAACATATTATGTGGTATATTACTGTATTCTTTTTAAAAAATATTTATAGTTGTAGATGAACACAATACCCTTGTTTTAGTTTTTTATATGCAGTGCTAGGTAAGCACTCTACCCCCAGCCCATGACTGTATTCTGGTTGCTCATTGAATATTAGAGAATCATTTTAAGTCATTGTGTTGTTTTATATACCTCCTTTAGGGTCTATTATTTGAGTTCTGTTGGATTCTTTTGGAGGCATCGTGGTTTCCTGTTTCTTCCTAATCCTGTTTCTTGCATTGGTGTCCACACATTTGAGGAGATAGCTACCTCTTCTTTTACAGGTGTTCTTTGGCAGGGATCTTCACTTTTTAGTTTAGCTGTGACTCTGGATGGACTAAATGATAATGACTCTATGCAGGCATTGTATGCTTCCAGTTTCTCTAGTGTGTGGCCCACTGCCTTTGCTCTGAGTTTGAATGGTTCAGGTGGCTGGTCTCTGCTATCTGACTGAGCTCTGTAGTCAGGCTACAGCTGCCTCTGATTGAACTTGGCCTCAAAGCATATTCTCTAGCTAGATGGTTTGAGTTCATTAGTTGGAAAGGGTTGCAGGAGGTGCCCTGAGGTTGGGTGGACTCACTGATTGGGATGTGGATATGCATATTTGAGGTTTGCCTCCCTGCCTAGGCAGGGCTTGAAGGTGGGCTTTGAGGCTGGGTTGAACACTTTTAAACTTTTTGATATGGCAAGTCTAACCCCTGCTCTTTGCCAAAAATTGCTGCTATAGTTTTCTCCCTCCTTATGTGGAGCCCTAGGTTAAGGTTCAATGATGGTCCTGCAGGCTTGATATTCAAAGATTCAAGCCAGGTAGAAATCACCACTTCTAGTACTGACCAGTGGAGTTTTTCAGATGGGCTCGACTGTCAGCATATACTTCTGACTGGGCACTATGCTGGCAGGTACATAGAACTACCACCAAGATCTGCATGCTAATTACTGTGAAGTCTACCTCCTTTCTTTGTTTCCACTCTACTCCTGGTGGTCTAACCATGATATTTACCCCTGTGTTTCCCATTAGGTGGGATAGGTGGGGGATTCCTGGGAAGCATCTCAAAGAGGTAGAGGAGCTGGATTCCACCTCTGGTTGTCTCTGGGAGAATCTTCTTTGTTGGACTCTGTGTCCACTTGGAGAGGGAGAAGGGTGATGCACAGTGAGACCATTTCTCTTACCCTTTTCATGCAGTTTTTATTTAGTTCTGTGGACCATAAGGTGTCTCAGGCAGATTGCCTGTTCCCCCCCGCCCACTAAGGTGTTCTCTTGGGATAGTTGCTGTTTTGACTTTCTATGGGGTAGTGAACTTGGGCCTTCTATTTTTCTATTTTACTGATCTTCAGTTAGAATTCTTGACATCTCCTTTTCTTTTTTAAAATCTGATCATTCCTTGATATTCATGGCCTGACACAATCCTGATTCCTGCTCTAGCACCTGTGCCTTCATTTCCTGTTTCCCTGACCATTTCTGGGATTTACTCAGTCCTCAGTCTTTGCCTCTCAAACTTGCCTGTCTCTTCTGAACGTTTTTGTTCTCTCCAGTCATCTCCTACCTCCCCTTTCCCACTATGAACTGCTACTTAGACTTTAAGGCTTACTTTCCAACTGCCTTGGCACATCAACACTTTGGATGCCCTTCTGTTATCTCAAACTCAGCATATTTTAAAAGCTAACTTAGTTCCTAAAAAATTTACTTCTCCATTTCTTCCAGTAAGCATATGTACTACTAGACACAGCAAGGGCTCAGTTAATGTTCCTATTGTCCCAGGGCAGACCACACACACCTCTTCATTTATCTTCTCAAACATTGCTCTTGTATATCACAATCTGTTTTTTTTTTAACTCTGCATTTAAAAATAATATGTAATAAGTATAATTTATATGCAGTGAAAAATGCTAATCTTACATATAAAATTCATTTAATTTTAAAAAGGCATACACACTTGTAACCAGCACCCCATGAAATACAGAACATTCCTGTCACCATAGAAAATCCTATTCTGTGCCTCTCCCAGAAGCAACTGCTGTTCTGATATAAATCAACAAAGACAGGTTTTCTTTGAAATTTTAAACAAATGTGTTCATATCACTCAATTTGTAGACTTTTTCTTTGTTTCTAGGGTCTGTCTCTCAGCATTGTTTTAGAGATTCGTCCATTATTGTTGTGGGAATCAGCAGTTCATTGCTTTTTATAGTATTCCATTGTATAAAAGAATCATTTTCAGACAGTTGAGTTTTGAACATAATGTATTTTGTATATTAAGAAATAATTTTATTAGGTGGTAATGACAGTACAGGTCAAACAGTTTTATCTGTTGAGCTATACTAAAGTATTTACAGAAGAAATAAGGTATCTGATTTGCTTTAAAATAGTTTTAATAACAAGTAGATAAAACAAGATTGACAAAATGTTGATAATTGTTGAAAAAAGGGTTCATTTTACTGAACTGTCTCTGACTTTCTTTGTTTTTGTAATAAATAGTTGAGATGTGAAAAACATGTATTTTGACCCTAAGTGAGAGTTCTGGCTCTGAAGAAAACTAAAAATATGGCTGAGATCGGTCACCTAAAATCATATTGGTGGTTCTTTCTGGCATTATCACTATTGTGAAAAAGATTTTTGCCTCATACTTCTAATCTCATTTGAACACCTTCCCTGGGGAGCTGGTGACTTCAGTGTGCAAAATCAGAGCTGGGCACTTCTTGCCTTATTTTTTTCCCGTAGCAGGCGGGAAAGTCTTCCCTTCCCAGAAGGGATTTGATTGCATTCATCCTTTTAAGGAAGGATGTTCTGATATAAAACTGAATGAACATGGGGAGAACATTGTGGCCTGCCAGTGGTTTACTCTGATTCAAGCTGTATGTAGATGGCTGCTCATGGGTCACCTCTGCTTTCTGAAGAGCCACTTCCTTCTCTGCTACTCCAAGCTGGACACCACCAGTTTTCTGTATGATATGCTATAAATTCCTCAGGAACCCCAGAAGGGATACACCTTCTCTTGCAGTACATGCTTACCAAATACTTCATTTTAAAGTCTTTCTACTCCATCTGCATCTCAGGGATGACAAGTACTATTTCATAGCATGTACAAAAGTGATGCATAATAGCTGTATGGAGAATGCCTGGTCATGCCTGGTTTCTGTGCACTTTGTCATTGGTGATATGTGCTATAAGACTTTGTCATTTAATAAAGAGACTTTGACAATAATTCATTCTACTTTCTCTTCAAGTGTATTTATCTTCAACCTTAGGGCTCAATTTTTTTTTTTTAGAGCATCTTGTTAATTGTGTCTTATACCTGTTTTTGCCACAAGGAGTACAGTTTTGATGACTTTGTAATTTTGGTGTGTCTTTGCCTTTAATGACAACTAGTTGCTTTTATAGTCTAAAAACTTAGGTATAGTTGACAAGAAAACTAGATTGGTTTGCTGGAAGCGACAATATACGCTGTCTGGAAGAGATGCCAAAGCTTGAATGGCTGTGGCTGGCAGGGTTTCCATTCATTTGACCTGGGGGCTGGGGGCAAATGGATTGTGGATCGAATGCCATCCAGCTTTCAATACATGTTGTATTTCTTTACCATTCTTTCTCCCATAATCTGCTTGTGTAAGACATTGTCTTTGGAAAAAAAAAATTTTTAAGAACATTTTGATTTATGTTTCACTGGTGCCCAAGGTCTTATTCATTATTTAGGTTTACGTCATTTTATTTTAATCACATTTATATCTCATTCATTTTTATAAATTCAAAGGCTAATGCTGAATAATAATACCAATAAAAATGCCAAGTTAAATGTAAATAATACTGTTACCAAAATGTGAAAATCTATTTGTTATGGCAGATAACATCAAACTAAAAGTTGATGAGAACCAGCTGTACTTTTAATAGGTTTGCAGAGTCAAAATGATAGGACATGGCAATTTCTAAATTTTAAATTTCTTAAGATCATTATTAATCTTACATTGTTGAAATTCATGAGAAAAAAGTTGCTTTATTGCATTATCTTCTGGAAATAACCCACTTACTACCTATAGACCTCATGAGATGATGGGTCCCATCATGGTCCCTAATTTGTTAATTGAAGAATGCTGACCTCCAATGGGGAATCTGGGGACAGCATGTTTGTGAATAACACTTTTTCCTTCAGTGTCAGAATCCTCTGATTATTCTCTAAGTGTGTTTTGGGAACCCTTGCATCAGAATCACTTGCATCTTAAATAGCTTGCCCAGTGAATATGGTAAGTGTACTGCTTAGGATTGGAAGTTTATGCAACATAGAGTAAGAATGCCTCTCTGTCTGGTTCATGTGACACATTGTTTTATGATGAGTGTTTTTTCCTTTTTTATCCTCAGGACTTGTCAGTCACGTCTGTAATCTATTCACTGAAACTGCCACACTGTGCTTGGATGTGGACAATAAAAACAACAATGAGATGGCAGCCACACTGCTCTTTTCCCTGCTTGATATTTTGCATGGCATACTGACGTATACATCCAGCGTTGTACGCCTGGCTTTGCAGGTAGAGAATCACTTTTCTTACATCTTGAGCAATCCTACTCCAAGTCACACTTTCCTCTTTGTTGTTTCTGATGAGTCTTTATTATTTTTTTAAAAATAACATTTTATTCAAGTCTACCAAAAGCCAACTTGGGATGACCAATGTCGAGAGGATTTGATCACAAAATCCTAAGGGAAGGCTCTAAAAGAGGCATAGTAAGCAAAGACTTAGCATTAGTTGGGAAATTACTTCTGTCCAAGGAAAGCACTTCCCTGAGGTGCATCCTAGGGCAGGCCAAGTAGGGTGCAGACTTTCATGTCCAGACTTCATCAGCAGGAGGGGTTAGCTTTCTAGAAATAATGGATTGGAAGTTTTTGCACGCACACACATTTGATGTAATAAGATACATGTAAACATGTGTGCATATCATATAAACTTTCTCATTTGCTTTCCCTTATAACTGTTAACATGGAATTGTGAGGTGATTTGAAGAATCAGAGGTATATTCATTGGCTATAGAAAAATTCAGTTGGGCCTGAAGTCTAACCTGTGCTTACTTAGTATCAAGTTCTAAGGACAAAAGGAGATGTGGTCTTATTGAGTACTTTCGTGTGATATGTCTCCACATGCCTAATTCATTTAATGTTCTCTCCTAGCCAACTGACTCAGCTGATTTCTTAGATCAAGAGAAAGGCATATAGCCAATATGAATTCATTGTGGTGTTTAAAAGCCTGGTAAAATTACAAGAGATGTATATCAAATAGTAGCATCCTAGCTCAGATATATGCAGGAGCTAAAGTTGAACTGAACTGTTTTGATACCTTGCCAGGAGTCAGAGTAGCAGAGCCAAGAATGAATCCCTAGACCCTGGGTTATCACTATGATATATGGTATCTTTTATGCACTGTTAAGCCAGTCAAGTATTTGGCTTGTCGAGTATGATTTAATAAATAATTCCACAATCCTTGGAACAAATCTGGTAGTTACTAAGTGTTCAACCCAAATTATAAAGCCAGTAAGTTAACATGGCCTTCTTATTATCTTGTTGTTTTTATTTGCTCATCTATAATCATTTTAAATTAACAGTAAAGCATTTTAAGTACTTTGGGAATCTTGAGTTACTGTATTTTTTTCTAGGTTTTCCTTTTTTCTACAGAGTCTGTCTTCAGAGAATATAAACTACAGTGGTAGTTTTATGGAATTCTTCAAGAGATAAATACCTTGGTGATATCAGTGTATAAAAGACTATGTCTTGTAAATTGTAGGTTAATAAAAAGGATCAGAAGTTAAAAAGCCCAGATAATAGAAATTCTCCTTTATCACAAATGATGAGATATATATTTAGGGGTATTTAAAAGAAAATTCCTGAATACAAATGTTTTCTAATTATCTTTTTTTCCATTGGCTACTGTGCCAATAGATCACTGGTTTTAATTTTTTTCATAATCTTTAACACTGTCTTTTAATGCTATCATCTTTCTGAATCCTTCCTTATAATATCTGTCACATATTGCTTTGGCCTTGACCTCTGGCTTTGATCTCCATGATACCTGGCATCAGTCTGAAAGAGGTAGAGTCCTTGAGACTGAGTTAGGGGAAAGAGTTGGGGAAAGAAATGGAGTGCTCATCAAAGGCATAGCCACCTGAAACACGGAGCTGTAAGTACTTTGCAAAACCATCAGTCACCTTTTCCATTTACAAAATACACCGCACTAGGGATTCTTCTGCACTCAAAATCTCTATCTACTTTATACAGAAACTTCTTTAAAGTAGAATTGAAGAGTGGCAGTGTGTAAATTATAACAGTGGTTAGATTTATGAAGTACTTTTCTTTTCCAAGGAAGAGAGTGGTTTGATCCATGAGTAGTGAGTGTAGGCAAGTGTCAGAATCTCCATCTAGAGTAAAATCACTGCCCCCAAGTTTACCTGAGATTCAGCATTGGTCCAATTTTAACCCTCTGAGTGTTATGTGTGACATATAGAGAGGTAGAAAATAATGTGCTTGAGATTCACTGGTGTGGTGAAGTGTTGGGCCTTGCAAACTGGAATATCTTCCATTCAAGTGCCAAGTACACCTGTGTGGGCCTGAACAAGTCACTTTACCTGTTTGAGTACCGCTTTTCTCATCTGTAAAGCAGATATGATAACTACTCTGCAGAATTGTGGTGAAACTCAGACACTTATGTATGTAAGTGTCTTACATATACTTGGCTCAGGAAGTTAGCCACTAATTGGTTGCTGTATCATAAACAGCAACAAGAAGAAAGGTACTCAATTTCTTGTCTATAATGAGCTTACTGTGGACCATGACTTCCTCATTTCTGTGTCCTTCTGTGTGAGAGGGCCCTTAATTCATATTTGCTGATTAACTCCTAGCAGGCTTGTGAGTTATTAGTTTGGTGATTTATTTTTTACTTAGGAGCCTAGCATAGGGCTAGGCACCTACAATTTAAGTAGAGGTCAAGAGAGAAGGGTGTTAGCTGTCAGGGAGCTTACGGTTTAGTAGGGAAGATGGTCAATACACAAATAATAAGCCAATTTTCATTTTATTTTATTGTGAAAAATGCAACAATTGAAAGGTACAGGGTGCTGCAGAATGACTAATGGTAGAGAGGCCAAACTCAGTTTTGAGGCTGGGGATGGCCTTTCTAAGGAAGGCAAATATTTAGTAATATAACCCAGGTTACCAAACTTTCCATTCCTAGGTTTTTTTCTGTCATTTTTGAAGTGGGTGTAGGAAAGCTTTTTACATTATTCTTTAGTTGTCTGTTCAACTGTTGATAATTTGCAAGTGTATTGTAGTGAGTGTAGGCAAGTGTCAGAACCTCCATTAGAAGACTGAGATAGGGTCACTGCATTTTAGTCTCACATGCACATAAAGCTTATCTATTATTGGAGAGGCTGTAGTTTCTATTTTTAGAATCTCTTGGAATTATCCAGTTTGACTCTTCTGTGGTCTTCCCCTTGTAGCTCTTCCCCATGAATTGTCCTGGCCCAGTTGTTGAGTGCAGGTGAAATTTTTCTGCCGTAGCCCATGGTCCTGATCATATCCTTTCCTTTGAAAACTTCAGTGACACCTCATTATCTATGACATATATTTACGACTCTCTGGGGAGGCACTCAGGGTCTTGTTTGGTTCAGCCACATGATGTCTCATCTGCCAGGCTTCTATGCTGCCCATACCCAAACCAAGCATTCCCATCACCATCTTCTAGGTGGATCCTGATTCTTGTTACTCCCTTGCCTTTCCTCGTGAAATCCCCAACATCCAAAATTCCATACTCCATGTAGAATTTATTCCACCATCCAAATGATGAAGTCATCTGTCACATTATGCCACCCAAACTTTGTTTTTATTTCTATTGTAGAAGTTTTGTACCGTCTTTTGTGAAGTTGTTTGGAAACTGGTTATCTTTTAAATTTAATTGTGAATTCCTAGAGAGTAAAGACTGAGTCTTGGTCATCTGTGCATCAAGAGCATGCACATGAGAGCATCTGGGGAGCACAATGAGTGTGGAATTGGACTGATCTGGTCCACACCATGGACAGTTGTGCTGTAGCATGTGCTTAAACCTACCAGCAACTGCATGGGTAGCAAACTGTCTCATTCTGTACAGATGGCCTCCCTTTGTGTTTATCAGTAGACCTCTTGGAGCACTTGCTTCTGTGCACTAGGTTCATGTAGCAATGGTAGATATCACAAAACTGTATTAGTCCCACACATTTTTATGCCAGGAAGTTGGCTATATTCTATCTCATTATATCCTGTTATATTTCTATTTAATAGTAAACATTTAATAGTAAATATTGACATCCCCAGGTTTTATATCTTAAAACTATTAGATTTGTTATTTCTACCCAGAGTTCTCAGGGATATCCATACATATGTACAGCACCTTAATTATTGTGACCATCCCTTATCCCATAGTCCATAACTGAGCTCAGGATTTGTCTTCCAAACCCATTCCCCTGCCAGCAAGTCATGCCACCCTCACCCTGCTGTGCAAACAAAAACCTGGGCGTACATCTTAAAATTTTAATTTTTCATATTCCACCTATAATCTGTCACCAAATAATATAGATTTTACCTTAAATATCTAACATCCAATTACTCCTCTCAAACCTTAACCTAGACCACTATCTTCTCTCGCCTGGACTGTACCAGTTAGATAGGTCAAGAATATCCGATGGCTAGTCATGGGAAAAGTTACTGTATAGCAATGACAAGTGACAGTAAGTTCTAGAAAGGGGTTTGGAGAGCACAGAGGCTGACAGTGTAGAGACAGGAACCCTGTGCAAGATGCACCCAAAGAGCCACAGATCTGGTTGTCAGAAGGCTCACTAGAGGAAGCGTGATTCTGAGAAGTGAAGACGTATTGGGAAGAGAGCAAACCTGGGCCTCTGCATTTGTTTGTTGGAACCTATGTTTTCTGTTCCACGTAGCCCTTGCTGCACAGAGATTCCATTGTGTGCTGACACTTTTGTGAAGAGACTTGAATTTCTAAATGCATTCCTGTCATGCAATTCTCTGTGCTACAAAGCTGCAACATTCTGTCTCTGGAACCCATGACAATTGCTGGGCAGAGTCTAGATGTTTCTTGGCTCTAGTAATAAACAACTGTGCAGATCTTGGAGGATCCAGAGCACTACCAAACATCCTGGTGGAAAAGTTCCCCGTTGTGGGCTTGCTCCTTTGCTCCATCTGCTTGCTTATGAGGTTTGGAAAGGAAGCAGGGACACCATGCCCCTTGCTGTTGCCTAGGTCCTGATTTGCAACACAGCCTTAGCCTTACCAAGAGGGAATCAATTTACTTTAATGGAAGACATGTTAAATGTTTAGTCTGATAAGGCCAATATTCCATGTCAGACAATGCTTAAGAAGGCACAGGACCAACGGCCAAGATTCAAGAAGGTTCAGGCCACTAGGACAGTGCAACACATTTATTTTCTGGGAGGAAGCTCTGCCTTTCCAATAGTGAGGTAGGTAAGAGGGAAGCTCCAAGCTTCCAAATTAATGATCACTATTGTTCCCCATAACTGTAGAGAGGTGTATATCACTAAAAGACAAGTATCTCATTTTAAATCAAGTCATTTTGAACCAAAAAAAAAAAAGGCAGGCATCTGAAATTCTGTTCACAGGTCTGAAGTGCAGAAGCAAACTTGGCATTCATGAGAAAGATCTTGGAGTCCAGGTTAATGATCCAAGGCTGGGCAGCCTGCTCCTTGAGTTCAGGCAAAAGTCATCTAAAAGTGGTTTGTTTTTTCTGAATAAAAGTAAAATCAGAGAGAAAAAGTATGAATGAAATATATACATCCTATGGCAAACACAATAAATATCAATGTTACTTTTCAATATAAAACAATTCATCTCTATTATAGAAATGTCCTTTGGAATATGACAGTTCTATAAAACTCCTGGGAGATGATGCACTTTAAGAAATGAGTGAATGGTTTTTACTTTTTCTCAGGTAGTTTAAGCTTATATGTCATAAGAAATGTAGATCAGTATATGAAGCCTATTCATTCAGTGGTAAATATTCTAGAAGGTGTTCTCTCTGTAGGTGTATGCATGCATGCAATGAAAACATAGAAAAATTAATTTTATACATATGTATATATATACATATATATATCGCATAAAAATTCTCAGAAGATTAGTAAACATGAGTTGGAATCAAATAGCTTTGTCACCCATTATCTGTGGGACTTTAGACAAATGACAGTTTCTCTAAACTTCAGTCTTCTCACCTAAGAAATGGGGCTAAAGCACGTCATCTCAGGGAAGTAGGAAAGATAAAGTGCTTATCCTCTTCAGCATGTAGAGTGTCACCGTCCTTCCTCCAGCAGCAGTTCTTGTTATTTCTTTATCTGTGGGCTCACTGGTCTGCCTCTGTATCCTGAACTGGTGGCAGTGGCAGCATGTGCACTGTTTGTCGTGTTATATCTCTTCTGGGGCCTCTATGTCCTGTGTCAGGGACCCAGGCAGAATGCTTCTCCAGATCCTTACGTCTGCTAATCCGAGTGGATCTGTCTCCTATAGCTAAGCTGACTAATCACCAAGACCCATTTTTATTTATCTTCCCACTCTTCTAGGCCCAGAAGTCTGGTTTAGGAGGGGACACTCAGGCTGCCGAAGACCTGCTAGTGCTCTGCAAACCACTGACAGACCTCATTAGCCTGCTTATTCCACTGGTAAGAGCTCACCTGTTTATGTGTCTTTCAGAATATTGCTGAGGTTGAAGTAATTTTATTTGAATTTCATGAACTTTTGAGTTTCTATGCTATTTTAATCCCCTTCAAAACTGGAACCAAAAGAACTTTGAAAGGTTTTTTTTTTTTTTTTTTTTTGCTCTGGAAATACTGAATTTATGGTTTAAAACCAAGAAGCTTATCATTTGTTTAAATAGATATTTAAGTAAGGCAGACTCTCAAATCTAATTACTTTCTTAATGTGAGGTTTAAAAGAATTGAACAAATGAATTCCAAGAAGGAAGAGTAAATCATTATGGAAATCAACTCCCTTTCCAAAGGAGATTTTGGAATTACACTTGGCTTGCAGGACTTTCCAGAAACTTGAAAACACAGACATAGACCTGGGGCACCTTCTTTTTCAACCCCAACAAAAATGGAACAATTAAAATAGGTGAAATTAAATAAAAATGGGTGAGACTACACAAGACCACTGAAGATATGAAAAGAGCCCAATAGAAACTCAGAATTTGGATCACTGAACAGTTTTGAACAAAGAGGACCCAACATACAGTACTTGCCCTTCAACAGAGCAGCCAGCCAGAGGGCCTGTGGATGAAATTCCATAAAAACTCCTGAAGAGTGGAGGCAGCCTTGTGGCTCCAAGGATGACAGCACAGACAACCCAAGGAAATGCATCTCTATGGCTGCCACCCTTCACAGAGGCAGGCAGCTCTGAGTGCTGGAAAAACTGCTGGATTTGGGTTTTCCTGCCCTGTGGCTTCAAGGAGGACAGATGCAGTTTCGATGAATAATTCTGCAGACTTAGTTGTATTCAATGAGTAAAAGTTTGTTTCAACTAAGGGAAATTTTAAAAAGGGAAAAAATCACTACTGTTTTATATTAAATGATATAAGGGATAGAGCAGTCACCAAAAATGTGGCCCATAGACTTACAATGAAGTGAGGGAAGGACACAAAACCCAGGGAACTAGACAGATCTTTGGTATAGAATGTTGCGGAAGTTACAGGACAGCAGCAAAATTGCTACATCAGGGAACATCAGGGCTGAATCCTGTGCTCTCACAGAAAAAGGAAGGAAACAAAGCAGGCTTCTGTGAACAGACAGGGAAAACTAATAAACTACACAGCTTGAAGGATGTATAAAAGATGTAAAAATGCCCTATTGAAGATAAGTAAATGGACACAATATGTGATATAAGATAATACCTACATTTATAACAAAAAGGTTAAAAATAGTTTAAGAAAGACTGAAGGGAAACTTTGAGTGCACTCTATTTCACATGTATGTTTTATAGATACGGTTTCAGTGTTTGCCCTAGTCTGAGATTTTTTTTTTCCTTGTAATAGGTGAGTTTATTCCAGTTGAACTCATTTATTCTTAATGGACTTATTGAAACTTATATTTGGTCTTTATATTGTTCTTTCTAAGTGTTTCCCTATCTTAGATACAAGGTATAATGCAAAAAAAAAAAATCCCCTTTAACAGGAAAAGAGGGGTTCTATAAAGAATAAAGTCCATAAGAAGATATAACTGCTATGAACCTTTTTGTATCAAATGCGTGGAATGGTATAAAATGAGAAGAACTAAAAACATATAGGGAGGAATCCATTTGTATTGAAATATTGAACATATGTTTTTCATTGCCTGACAGAGTAGGGATTGGCCTGTGGGTTAAGTCTGTTCTACACTCTGTTTTTGTAAATAAAGTTTTATTGGAACACAGCTACACAATTCATTTACACATTGTTTATGGCTGCTTTGCCTCCTAATGGCAGAGTTGTAACAGAATAGTTATAACAGAAACCTTATATCCCATAAATCTATATTAATTACTCTCTAGCTCTTTAGACGTTTGTTGGAAGCTGCTATAGACAATATGAGTACTTTAGTAAGATTGATCTAATAGGAAAATATTCATCTCCATACTCTGAAAATAGAGACTATACCATCTTTATTTTCTGGGAAGCATCTTTTCAAAGTTGACCAAGTATTGTGTTAAGAGTATCAATAAATTCCAGTATGTAGTAATTGTATAGGCTAAAATCTTTACCCCAAAATATAATAAAATTAGAAGGAAAAATAAAAATAATGTAAAATGCACTATTAGTAAATACTACCCATAAGTACAGGAATAAAATGTTGTTATTATGTCATTCTGAGCCTAATCAGGATACAGAAAGCACACAATGATTTAAACAGAAAAAATTTAATATGAAGAATTATTAAGCTATGATAGAATACCTCTAAGATTTTAAAAGAGGTACCCTAAAACTGAGGTGAAAGGGCAAACTTGAAAGGCATAGATCAGACTTCAATCGAGAGAGCAGGGTGCAGCCCACAATACAGTGGAGAAGTCTGTTGGGTTGCAAAACCCAGAGCTGCCCACAGTCCACAAGAGAGCAGAAGACAACCCCCCAGGGATCAGGAGAATCAGAGCCAGGGGCGGGCATGCAGATGAGGGCAGGTGTCACTGTGGGCAGAAGACTTGGAGTGCTCAGTGCCTGTAGGAAGGTCCACAGAGAGTGGCACCTTTGTAGGATGCAGGCAGACAGAAGGAATTAGGGTGCTAGTGAATGTGGGGAAGCTTGGAGTGCACAGTATCCTTGTTGGGAAGGCAATAGGATAATAACCTTGGCTAGGACTGGGGATCCTTGAGGGACTTTGAGTCCTGGGCACATCGTGTAGGCAGCCCATGACCAATGCCATTACACCCACACTTATTAGTGGTGTAGTCACCAGAACCAGCAAGAGAACCCCTGACTCCTATAATGTGCCTTAAATGCCCTCTATGGAGGAAAGTAACAGTCTTACTCTGAAGGAGGGAGGCTTTAAGGAAATCTGCCCATCATCACAGAACATGTACTGAAGGATACATATGGAACCAATGGCAAGCAATGAATTTCTGGCACAGTGATCAAATTGAGCTCACTCCAGAAAGTAAGATGACCCACTGTTAGGAAATCTAACATTCTCCAAAGTCAAGTGGCTTTTATGTCCTTCCAGCAATGGATGAGAGCTCTTGTCCCAGATATTATCAGTTCTTTTTTTAAAAAAAATATATTTTAAATATTTGACCATCTTAAAATAGTGTGGTAATGCCTCATTGTGATTTCAAATTGCATTTCAGTAATGATGAATAGTATTGAGCATCTTTTCATGTGTTTATTTCCCAATATTTATATTATTATATTTTTGTAATCTGAACTTCCTTCATAAAATGAATATATTAAAAGTAAATTGAGTTACTTTTTTAAAAACTTTTAAACATATCATTTCAGTGCCTATAAAATTTCCCAATGTTTTTAAGTCAAATTGTTGTTCCCTGGAATAACTTTAATTAAATTAATTTTAGCTTTATTTTTTTTTTACCAATTAACTCCAAAGTCTTTTTATGTAAAAAGTACATTCAGTCACCCTTTATCAAATGAAACTTTCTTTTGTTATCTACATTCCATGCAATCACAAATTCAAAATGACATGGAAGATAAAATACAAGAAGTAAGTAAAAGTGAAACAATAATAGCAGCAAGGAAAGCCAGTATTGCATGGAACTTCTGGGCACAAGTGCCACCTGGCTTTGCCACTTACCAATTGTCACATTGGGCAAATATTAAATAGCAATACTTGTTATTTAATTTATGGATTCCATAGTTTCCTCACCTTTAAAATGGGGTTAATAATACTAACTAGACAATGAGGATATTATGGGGATTAAGTGAACAGTATCTGACACATAGTAAGTACTGAACAAATAAATCTCCTATGAAAGTGATTTCATATTTGCCACATGGTATCCTGTCCTTCAGTGAGCTAGGTTCTGCTCTCAGTGCTTTACCTTTGGCCTCATTTAGTCCTTCCTTGTTTATGATGAAGGGCCCATCCTCACCTTACAAATAAGAACCCTAAAGCTTACATAATATATAATACAGAATAATAGGGCTAGATGTCTGATCTCAAAGCCCACGTTTTCCCCACTACAATTCTAGTTGTCCTATGGATTAACTTCCAACTCGTACAACTCTTGGAAATACTCTCATTGAAACATAATCTACTGGATTAGAAATCCATTCTGCATTTTTTTTTTAAGTTTTGAAAAATGCCCTTAGTTAGGAGTCATCTCCAGATGCAATTTGCATAGTTTAGGGAGAGATTCTGAATGAGGCTACTTTTGCGTTTTGTCCGGAAGACAATGAGAAATACATGAATGAGGAAAAGTGCTTGTAGACTTAATAAATCATTTTTTGTTTAGGAAGGATAAAAGTTATCTTAACACTTCTATTTTACGTAGTCATATCCAATTCCTTAGAGTTAATTGGGAAATATAAATGATTAAGATGTGCTTTCAAAATGCAGGGAACAGCCTCACCCAGTAGCTGATGAGCTTGACTCTGACTATACTTGTAATAACTGCCCTGTTACATGGCTCATTGCCGAGTTTGAGTGATTAAACTTAAATCTCAAAAGGGAGTAGGCAGTCTCATCTCCTGTCATGGAGGAATTTGCATCTTTCAGAATTGTTTGTTGAACAGGTGTCTATCCCAGGTAATTGAATTTTAACAACCAGAACAGGCCATGATGAAAAATTCTTGGAGTGTTAAAAGTAGAGACTGAAGCTTACAATGCAGACTTGATGCTTCAGGGGCCTAGGTGCTGCTTGGGGGAGTTTTCTATTGATTCTGAGGTCATTGAAGGGCAGAAAACCAGGAACTTTGAGCGGACAGGTGATTGTCTGCCGGCAGCAAAGGTGTGTTAAACAGGGTGATATGCATCTGCCATGTTCAAAATCAGAAGGTTTTACCTGAAGGCTGACTTTCGGAGTTCCTGTGATAAAGGAAGGAGGTCAGCTTAGAACACGTGACATGGTCTTTTGTGTTGATATTTTAGGATTTTTCATTTAAATATTTAATATGCTTTATGTATTCTTCCCCCATCCTTTTCCTGCCTTTTGTAAGATTGAAGCACAACTTTGGGTTCTACCT